GCCTTAATTTTTTTCCCGTTTTGTGAATGTCGATATGAGTTGAAGGCATTGTGGAACCACATCAAAAGACAAGTGGGTTCATTCTTTATTGCTAACTTATCTCTTGAGAGGGAGCTCATATATTACCTCCAATTTTTAATATAAAAATTAGTTTAATTTTTAATTTGATCCTAAATATAAGACCCCTATCTATTATGTCCTTTATATTTATCTATTTTTTTCAAAGTAATTCTTATAGTAATTGTACATGTTAAATATTTTATCAAATAGTAGTTCTCACTAATACAAATTATTAATAAGGGTATTTTAGGGAGGACAGGACCAATTTAGTATAAATAATTAACTTAACAAATTTTCTTAATTTTCTTAAATTAGTTAACTAACTCTTATATTAAGGACTGAAGATAATATAAAGCAACGTACATCTATTGTCAGCCCCCTTTTTATGTCTAAATTTTCTTTATATTATTGAGTGCTTTTGATGATAGCTCAACAAAATTGTCGGGGGAAAAATTAAATGATGTAAATGATCTACTAGCTATGCTGCATAGAATTTGAAAATAAATTATATCAGTTTTGGTTCTAATTATAAGACCTCATTTGTAGACTATAAATGAGGTCTTATAATTAGGACTGAGGTTAGTATATACTCATTCTAAACTACTCCCATACTCATTCTAAGCTCATCAAATTTGAATTATTTAGTGGATGGTTTAGATTTATTTTTTATTTTTATTTATTTAGAATAATTATTTTAATAGGTATATGCTATAGAGTAAAGATAATCTCTTAACTACTTTTTTAAAAAATATTTTTCTATTTAAAAATAATTCATTAAAATTTAAAACATAAACTGTTCAAATAAGATTTGAATGGTCCAGATCTGATGAATTTAAGGTACTCATAACAATTTTTCTATGAATAATGAGTTTTACATAAACCTGAACCATTCAAATAAATTAAAGGATAAAATTTTATTCAAAATTTTAATCATCTTCCGTGCCGTCAGTGTAAGGCAGATTATTGAACTTTTTTTTAATCGTCAAATATTTATTATGGCCTTTTAAATTAAAATAATCCCCAATCATCACAAAAACACCCCTATCATGATATCTTTGTACAGTAGAACACCTGATGAGGTCAACCACCTTGGGTGCAATAATTCATGTTGATATTGATGACGCGTAAGATCTGGCAATGCTATATGTGTAAAAGATTAAAATTAATCTAAAATAGACTACATTTGTAAAGAAAAGAAGGGAAAAATATTCATTGCGAACCAGGTCATGGGGACTACGTACTGTTGATATTTATTACATAAGGACCCTTCGAACTAGCTCAAATTTCCTATATAAAGGGCTAAGGCCTAAGCCTTCGTTGTGCATTTGAATTAGGGTTTGCATTATATATCGATCACCACAAACAGAAAAGAAACAAAGATGGCTCACTTATTCGGGAAGCTTGAAGCAGATGTTCACCTTAATGCTTCTGCTGAGAAGTTTCATGAAATGTTCAGCAACAATCCTCATCACATTGCCAACCTTGCTCCTGGGAAAGTCAAGGCTGTGACTAAGCATCAAGGTCGTTTCGGAGAGGTTGGCTCTGTCTTGTCTGGAATTATGTTCTTGGTAAGCTGAATTTTAATTTATCAGTATCATGTCGACAGTTTTTTTTTTTTTAATTGATGATTTTCGTTCATTTTCGAGATTGAATAAGCTTCACTATATGATATGTATATTATCAGATCAAATGACTGATATTAGTTGTGACTGCACGTAGATGGGAAGACCTGCGTGGCCAAGACTGTGATTGAAGCAATAGACCCAGCAAAGAACTCAATCACTTTGAAGATAACAGAAGGCGATGTACTTGAACATCTCAAGAGCTTCAAAGCCACGATTCAAGCCATTCCAAAGGAAAAGGGATGTGCGGTTCAATGGACTTTTGAGTACGAAAGCTTGAGTCGGCTCATTCGCTCTCGATGCAGCTAGCGATCATTCTCTGATGCAGCTCGCATCCGAGGTTAGCAGAGACATTGATTCACACCTCACACAAGGACAAGGCGATCATGAGGAACAGTTATTTGGGAAGGTGGAAGTTGATGTTCACATTGATGCTTCTGCAGACAAGTTTCATGAATTGATGACCTCCAAGCCACACCACATTCCTAATATTTCTCCTGCCAACGTTCAACATGTTGCTACAGATGCAAACTGGGGCAAACTCGGTTCTGTCATTACCTGGCACTATGTCCATGGTAAGTACTCAACTACTCATTTATGCGCGCGCGCGCGTGTGTGTGTAGAGAGGGAGAGGAGAGTAAGGTAGGTATGTACACTTTCTCTTCAGTACTTCTCCTGGTTTTCTTCTGGGGGAAAACGACACTTCGAAGAGTGAAGTGCTGCTTCTGATTGAGTCCTCATGATTTATAACCGAGCTGCAGTTATTTCCGATCCGAGTCAATAATGATGTCCTTCATTGATTTATTGGGAAGGAACATAATTACCAATAATAAGTGAATGATAAGTTTCAGTACCGAAAATATGACAAGAAGATCTATGCTGCTTATTTGTCATTTGGACCTTTTGGTAATTATTCCTTCTTTGGGACATCATAATTATTTCTGCTTTATTCTTCTTATAAGGTGCCAAGTCGCCATTTTCCTTTCATTTTTACCCTACAAGTTCAAAGAATTAATGAGCATCCCTTTGAACATGATACTGAACTAGTATTGTGATGAATTAACAGAAGGGAAAAACTGTGTGGCCAAGAGAGAAGATCCATGCCGTAGATGCGAGCAAGAACTTGATCACTTTCAGAGTTGTGGAGGGAGATATCCTGAAGGATTTCAAGAGCATGGCCATAACGCTGCAGGCAACTCCAAAGGATAAAGGGAGTTTGGTGCACGTCACCATGGAATATGAGAAGCTGAAAGGTCACATTCCTGATCCTCACACTCTTACAAAGTTGGTTGCTGATGTTACCAGAGACATGGGTTCTCATTGCCCTCTAGTGCCCACCCTATTCTAAGCCTGTCCATCGAGATAACATATGGTGGGTATATCGTGGGATTCGAATCTTAATTCAAGTCCTAATAAAGTGCTTATTGTCATAAGTAATATGAATAAAAACAGGTTCAGTCATAAGTTGTAATGCTTAATGACGAGGAGCTTGTTCTTATGTACTGCAATTATGGTAGCTGCTATTCTTGTGTATGTGTGTGATGGAAGACTTGAGATTATTCATGGTTGAATGAGTATGTTTTGATTGGTTGTTATATATATATATATGTATGTATGTATGTATGTATAAAGTGCACTTTATGATTATCAACTTTGTCAATTTCTGCTTACTTTTTAATAATTTTTTTTTGGCAAATACTGACGGCTTGAACTTATAAACAGGATTGAATTTGTGAATTTTCACTCACAAGGGAGCTTGCTTTCTAATAACGAGTCTGTTTATTATAATAAGATGTATTCTTATATATATATATTATATATATATAACAATCAATTATATATAAAACGAAAGAAATTATACAGCTAGAGTCAGTAGGAAAGGGTCAATGGGTTTGGTTTAACAGTAGATCAGTTTTATCTAAAAAAATGGCTCAAACAGTACTCCCTCTTGTCCATATCACAAAGGGTTAACAAGCTAATTCACACGAATCAAGAAATAGTAATTATATCATTAAATGTGTTCAAAAAATATAAAATTTTCCAAACTTACCCTTATAACAAATATCGAGAAGCTAGTGAAAAGTTATTTACATGAATAATAGAAGTGTTCATGAGGTGCAAATGCCTGTTATGCCTACAAAAAAAAAAAATGCCCACCTTGGTCTAATAAAAAGAGAACCGAACAAAAATGGGTATTTTTGAGCTCGGCTTATCACAGGCCTGCATATTTGGCCCTACCAGAAAAAATATATAATTATATATAGGCTAAAGTATACATTTGATCTTTTAACTTTGTACAAGATTTCAATTGGTTCGTCAACTTTAAAAAGCATACTTTTAGCTCTTTAACTCTAAAATTTTTTTAAAAAAATGATGAGATTAAGATCTTAAACATTGATAAAATATTCTCAAGTACTAACATGTTAAGTTTAATTTTCAAAACATCCATGATTTTTACAAAAAAAATAATCATTGAAACCTAATGATTTTAGGGTTAAAGGGCCAAATGTATGCTTTTTAAAGTTAAGGGACCCAATTGAAACCTTATACAAAGTTAAAGGACCAAATGTATACTTTAGTCTTATATATATTATAATATTATTTTTCAACCACTATCCCTTTTAATTTTGGCCCAAAAAAATTGTTTTTTTTGTTGCTTGCACTCTTCCATAGTATCAAATTTTTATTCATTTATTTGCCTATTAGAGTGTATTATTTGACCATTACTTATTAATTTAACCAAATTGATTGAACTTTGAGGCTAGGCCATAGGCCATGGGGCTACAAGTTTCAAACTGTAGGTAAAGATAATAATAAAATGAATGTTTGTTATTTTCTTGCCAAAGCCTTAGGAGTTAATAGCAGAGGTAGCTGTAATCCACAATTTTACTAATTAATTTTCATATTTTATATTCATATACATATATAAGGTAATTTTTAAGTATATATTTTTAAATGCAATGTGATCTGTATATCATAGTTTATTTGGCCAATACAAATATATTCATTATAAACACACGGATAACCTCAATATATAGGAGATAAAACATTTAACTGTACCGATTTTAACTTACATTATGTTTTATATTTTAAGATAAAAAACGTCAGCTTATTTTGAATATTTTAAGATATGAAATTATAAATGCATTTGAAATTCACAAGAGTATTTATAAGATATAATTAGATTTTTTTACATATAATATGAGTAAGGTGTCATTACTTGGGTAGGGAAACCCACCTCGTCCAGCCCACCTTTACCCTGCCCAAAGTAATTACAATTTCTATTGGGTAGAGCCGGTGCAGCCTGCTCATTTTTTAGGTTGGGCAATAGGCATGGGTCATGCCCTGCCCGATCCTACTCATAAACACCCCTAGTTAGTAATAATAATGTGTAACTAAGGGTAAACTGGGAAAAAAAAGCATTAATGGCCCTGTTTTTTTTTTTACCAGCAAATTAATGGCCCTGTTGACATATTATATTTTATCTTAATTTAGGTGGACTCACTTTTTTCATGTGGTTTTGGAATCCCAGAAACCGCGTAAGGTAATCAAAACTAGGGAGAATTTTTTTTCCTTGGATGATAACCACACATTCTTTTGTCCTTTTCTTTTTTTGTTTGTTTTGTGGAAAAAAAAAAAGGTGTTAACAAAGTGGAACCACCGTAAATCTCAAGGCCCATTTGGTTCAAGTGCAATTTGCTCTTACAATACACTGCAGTCCAATGCAGTAGGTTGTAATGCAATTTTGATTACTGATGATCTGTTTGGTATATTATAAAGAAAACATGGTAGATGATGTTTATTATTTTCAATAAAACAAATAAAATTTATGAAATGACCCTTTTATCCCTTGACCAAAAAACAATCATTCCCTTCCCGAACGTTTCTTCTTACTCGACAAGACTGCTGATAAAATACACACAGCAATCCTTCATTTTACTAGATATTTAATTCATTATCATAACGGACTGAAACCATAAAAGCCAATGATAAAATCATCTGTGAAAATAAGGCCACTATTATCATCATCAAAATTTTTACATCTTCATCAACCCAAATGAAAGATATTGTTTATAAAGCAAGAGAGATCTGAATCAAAGAAGATAAGGGAAATAAAAAAAAACAGATATGGAAAGAAAGGATATGAAATAGAAAAAGAATTAGATCTGAAAACCCAAACAACACGCAGATCGAAAAATGTAGAGACAAGATCATATTGGATGGCATGGGAAGGCAGATATATGAGATTTTTGAAGGAAGGATGCTGGAGGCTGATGATATAGCAAGAGGAGAATAAATTGGGGGTCATGACGAATGCAAAGCATAGGGGCAGAAATGGAGCAGAGACAGTGGTGGTGTTAGGTGTCGGGTACGGCGGCGTTCATGGTGGTCAGGTCATCCGCGGCAGCGGGTGTGCTACGTGGCGGAGGTGTTCACAATGGTCAGCGTCGTGGTGGGTGCTGGGTGCAACAACATTCATGGCGGTCGGCTGCAATGGAGGGTGGGTGATAAAGAACGAAGGAGACTATTGAAACAAATAGAGGGGAAATGTGACTTTTTCAAATATGCAATGGATGTTAATGAGTATTCACATGGGGGGAGGTGTGAATGAGGATTACCAATTTTTTGGTAATTATCATTATCATGGTAAATCCTATTACCAAATTAAAGAGCAACCAAACATTCTCTTCTTAGTAATGTCATGTTAATTGCTATTACATGCTTGCAATAGAATTGAATCAAACGGACTTAACTCAAATTCCCACACATTTGAAAATCTAAAGATATGAAAGAATAGAAATTTTACCTTTAATACTATCTTTGTTCCTTAATATAAGATCTCGTTTGACTTTTATTTTGATCCTAAATACAAGACCTAATCCATTTTGTCTATTATATTTATTCATTTTTTTTTCCCAAAATAGTCCTTCTAATAATGATAGTTTTAACCAACAAAGTTGATTAGCAAAGATATTTGAGGAAAGACAGCATCTATTTATTACAAATAACTAACTTAACTTGTTTTTTTAATTTACTCAAATTAGTCAACTAGCTCTTATATTTAGAGCCGGAGATAGTAGTAGAAAATAACCTCAACTAATTCTAATGTTTAAAATTAGAGGAATGGTTATTACTTCTTGTTTTGGGTAGAGTGGGACCGGTGAGAGAGAAAGTAAGATACAGACAGACCAATGTTTTAAAAGCCGGATTGGAAGTCGAATCGGAAAGATCAACGGGTTATGGTTCAATCGATCGAATCATTCGGTCGGACTGGTGACGCAATAATTAATTTAAAACAATATTATATACATATAATTAGTATATATGAAAAATATCAAATTATTAAATAATTTAGAAATGCATTTAAATAATCTAAAATTATAATGAAATCATTGAAAATGGACTAAAACCTTATATATTTAAATTTATGTATCTTTAAAATATTTAATGATATTACAAATTATCAATTCATTCAAATCAAAATATTTTTTAAAAAGATAGACCAAATATCAAAACAAAAAGACTAGCAACTCACGATTTTAACACCACAATATATGAAATTTTCAATGAAATAATACTATATGGTTATAAATAGTCTAAAAATATATTAGGATATTTAAGGGGATCAATTTTTTTCCTTCTATTTTTTTTAAATTTTTTAGTATTTTTTCAGTCAGGCTAAAAACCGTCCGGTTTTAAAAAACCGTCCGGTTTTCTAAAAACCGTTCCGGTTCCCAGTCCAACTCCGGTTCCGGCTTAATAACGGCTCAACTCCGGTCTAATCCGGCTCAACTATGTAAAAGGTTTTTTGGTCCAAACCGAGCCGTTAACGAGTCTGGGTGACGGTTCAATTGTCCGACCGTCCGGTCCGGTCCGGTTCTTTAATCATTGAGACAAACTAGCAGCAAGTAGAGAAGACGAAATATCTCAATCTATGCCCGCCAACACGGAATAAACAAGGTCAACCCAAATGAATGAGAAGGAACAAAAATATGTATGAACAAGTAATATATAATCATGAGTTGCTAAAGAAGGCTAGGCCCTTTCCGGTTTTAGAGTTTCAATTCAGTCAGCCCGTAAAAAGGGAATTGAGGAATTCTATTGGTAAGTATGTCTAATCTCTGCTCCTTTCAACAAAATACTGTCCATCAATAAATTGCTAGCTACAAATTTCAAACCCACAGGCACTATACATAGGGTATAGGTCGAGTTATGTAAGGCAGAGCTCCCTAATTTTAACAAGATAGGTTCCGAATGACCAAACGGAACAGAGATTGGTTTGAATGGGTTAATAGAGTAATTAGCCAATAG